GCATGCGGTCTACGCAAGTAATGAAATTGAATAAACATACAGTCCACGCAAGCAAAGTGTATAAAGAGAAACTTGAACACACGTGAGTGAAAACATATCATTCATAATGAGGGGATGTAAAATACTGTAACACAGCATAATTGAAGTGATTTGTGGGAATCCTCAAGACATGAAAAGGATACGGGAAGGGACGTTCTTCGTACGTATCGAGCATCGTTCGCAGAAGTTGTGGCCTGAGGTCAACTCGAAGGTCCATGTTTCAAAAGTGTGCTTCCCCGCATGGTCTCAAGTAATGAAGGTGCCAAACCATGTCGTTGACCTGAACAAAGGCACGGAAGGCGCGTTTGACCGCAAGGGGAGTTTTGCTAGTATCAATTTCGACACTTTGTTACCCTGTCATTTTATGTTTTACTTTCCTTTTTACTGGTAGTTTAAGCACATTGCACTGCCTCAGGCAGGTTTTATTCTTTCTCAAAATTACACATTTTGCAAAGTACGTGACGGGAATGAAACAACCATTTTGTTCAAAAGATGTTGCATTTGTAAACTTTCTATGCATCGCATCGCAAGGTATCACACCACAATGTGAATGAAATTGAATCTATTTTGAACATCCGAGTATTTGCATCGTAATAATCAGGCAGTGAACCGACTTACAACTCGATAAGCAAAACAAAGGTATGATATAACCAAACAAGTGTGAATACAACTCGATAAACAAATCAAAAACTTAAAGAGAGTGAGATACAACTCGATAAGCAAATGTTCAATAACTCGCTAAGCAGACAGGTGTGACTCCGCAAGAATTGATCATCGGGGGAGGGATCGGAGGTGGTGGAGTTCCCCAATCCCTAGCATAAACAGTTCAGGGAACCAGGAGGAAGCCCATTGGCCAGGGGGAGAGGCCATCGGCCACAAGGAATGGCCATCGGCCAAAAATTTATTCGGTCGGCAAAAGGTAATGGCCGGTCGGCAAGATATTCGGCCGGCCGGCTATGAATGAGGGAATCACCAGAATGTTGACACATGTCCTCCACCCAACCTTATCTCCTACAAAAGACCCCAGCTTCGTAGTTTTTTTCAATTCCACACTGATTTGCTCTAATGGAAGAGTTTCTTGCTCAAAATCTCACAGCTTGGATTGCTAGTTTGGATGGCTCAGAAAAGTTGAATTTCTGGGGTTTCGGCATGAATGCACTATTCACTCTGGGTCGTACCCCGTTGCACCTCCCGTTTCTTTATGCCGCGGCAAGGTTTTGGAATCCGGTGACGCATGTCTTTAGCTTCGCTGGGCAAGAGATATGTCCTACCTTTGAAGATTTCTAATGGAGTCCGAGCGCGACGAGGAGCTCCTCCCCCAACTTAATTTTGGCCATGCCCAATCCCTAGGGCGAATGTGTGGACTCAGCATTCATGATGCTCGGTCTCTGATTTGTGACGGGATGCTGGACATTCCGAGTTTGACCGATCGTTTTTCTGATGCTGGTGATCGCAACAATCATCACTGGCAAGGCTTCCGGCGACATGCCCTCTGTTTGTGCATGCTATCTCATTTTCTATTCGTCTCAGGCTCGGGAGAGTCTAGTGTCCGGCTGATTGAGGTTGCCCAAGGCTTAAAGGAGGGCCAGAGCTGTATTGCCATGACTCTGGCTGAGACGTTGATGGGCTTAGATGCCTTTTATCGTCATGAGACGACCAGGTTAGCAGGGAGTCCACTACTACTACAGGTAATGTTTCCCACCCAATCTCGCATATGTATTTGTTCACATCACTCGGCCCTCAAGCTCGGTCTTTTCTCACAAAGCCCTATTCTCACTTTACTCTCCTCGTATATCTCTCTATTCTCTATTCTCTCATTTTTCATCCCTCCCTAGGTATGGTTGATGGATAAACTGCAGGTTGTGGACTCTTGCCCAGCATATTCAACTCGTGGCTACTTCTTTCGGCACCGTCTAGTCAATGCCCTGGATGAGGGATGGTGGTTCGCTTGGATGTGCCGCTTGTCCGCAGACCGTATTGCTTGGCGGTGCCCTTGGCTGAGCCTTCGGGCAATGAATTACAATATGCCCCGGCAGACTGGGATTCAATTGGTGGGTCTCACTCACTGTGTATTCTACTTCCCATTCTGGATTCGATGCCAATTTGGCCATGATCAGACCTGCCCGCCAGAGGGGATAGAGTATCCTGCTGCATTCCCATCCCGAGGCGCACAGCTTGCTTGGCAGGCCACCGTGTGGAGGATGAGAGAACTCCTGGCCCCCGCTCCTACTTCCAGTTGCACTTTGTCTGACGAGTGCTTGGATTGGCTTAATGAGGAGGCACAGGTCGGGCCTACCTTGGCATCAGAAGCTTCGACCAGCTCTAAGAGGGGGCACAGGGGCACCTAACTTGACTATGCCCCAGATTTATTGCTTCATTAGTACTTTCAAGTTTTCTTTATGAATGTAATAAAAAGCAACTTCGATTGTATGCAAGAGCAGGAAAACTCTGTTTTGAAATC